CCAGTGCTGAGGAACTTCAAGTTGCCACTGGTCATGGATGAAAAACTTTCATGGACAGGGAAAATAAATGATTTATAGAAAATAGAGGTGAAGCAGAGAATCAAATGAATTGGTTACAGCTTGGTGTCTGTCTATTTAAACATTGTTTAAACAGTGGACTGTGTGTTATTGACTGAAGCAGGGCTGCTATGACTCAGCCATTTGTTAAGGAAACAGACTCCCAGATTAGGTTGTGGTCTTTTATGAGAACTTGAGTATCTGAGTACAGAGGCCTTCTTAGGCCAATGTCGTTTGATTTAACAGCCTTAACCTCCATGTTGTAGAAGATACAGGAATTTAAAGAATAATGTATGAAAACACAAAGAAACAATCAGATATATCTAGATTATGAGCCATCCCAAAGACAGCTTTCTATATATTTCTTCAAAGGGGTCATGTCATCTTGGAAAAACAAAACATGGAAAGACTATTGAAAATTAAAAGGGTTTAAAGAACATAAGAACCAAATGTACTGCATGATACTTGAACATGAACTTAGAAGTAAAGCAGCTGAAAGACATGTCAGGGACAATTAAGAAATACATATGTACTATGTGGCAGATAATACTAGCAAATTACTGTCAATTTTCTTAGTTGTGGAAATGGCACTAAATGTTGTAGGAAAATGTCATTATTTTTGGAAAGTGCAAGTTGTAGTATTTAAAGGTGTCTGCATGACATATTCACAACTTACCTCTGCAATTATTTAGCAAAATACACACCCACGCACACACAAATGGCAAGATGTTAAGGATTATTGAGGAATCTAGGTGGTAGGCATAAATGTAGTTAATCATTGTACACTTTAAACTTTTCTCTGTATTTCAGTTTATTCCTGGAAAAAAAATAATAAAAACACTGTATGTGGAGGGTGTCAAATGCTGCTGAATGATTCAGCAAGAGAAGGATAAATTTAGCAGGAGGGATGGAGTTTGTTTCTTCTATGAGAGCAATTTTAGCCATTTAACAATAGATTAAAAAGTAAAACAGAGATGAGAAAAAGAAATAGTAAGTTTAAACAATATTTGGAAAAAGTTACATTAAGAAGTAGAAAGAAGGGAGTCTGAAAATCAAAGGAAATGTATATTTGAAGGAGAAATTTCTCTTTTTATTTTTTTGTCTTGTTAGACCTTTTGGTTATTGTTTTGTTTTAGATTATGCTTGTTTGAAGAGAGAAAGAGGTGGCTGGTTCAGCACACATAGAAAAGTAGGAGAGGAAGGGATTGAACCTGAAAGAGAAAGAGTGGAGGGGGCTGTTTCAAGAGTTTTAGAATTAGAGGGAACCAGCAGTTAGCGTAATGGCTATGTCGCTGGACTCCCATGTAGTCTACTGCGGTTCGCGTCCCGGACCCTGTGACTTAAAACTCACACTGGGCGCGTGTGCGTGCGTGCCCAAGATCCCAAGAGGAGAATGGAGGAGAAGGGATTGCGGCGTGACCATTCCCCCTGGGGGGTGATTTCTCACTTTCTGTCTCTCTGTCTGTCTCTGTCTGCTCTGTCTGTCTGGCAAGCGCACGTGCCCTATAGCAAAAACCTCTCAAAAAAAAAAAGAGTTTTAGAATTAGGGGGACCAGCAGTAGGATAATGGCTATGTCACTGGACTCCCATGTAGTCGACCACATTTCGAGTCCCGGACCTGGTGGCTTAAACTCAGCCAGGCGCGTGTGTGTGCGTGCTCAAGATCCCAAGAGAATGGAGGAGAAGGGATTGCGGTGTGACCATCCCCCCTGGGGGGTGATTTCTCACTTTCTGTCTCTCTGTCTGTCTCTGTCTGCTCTGTCTGTCTGGCAAGCGCACGTGCCCTATAGCAAAAACCTCTCCAAAATAAATAAGTAAATAAATAAAAGTAATAGTTTTAGAATTAGGTAGGTATGAATAAGGTATCAAAACAAAGGGAGACAGAAACAGATTATCACTGATACTTTATAAACTAGCTTTAGGGACCTCACTTGCATGATCCTTCCCAAGATCTTGTAACTAGTTTGCATTTCTTTTTCTTTTTCTTTTTCTTTTTCTTTTTCTTTTTCTTCTTCTTCTTCTTTTTTTTTCCAGTGAGATTTTTGTAATTTTTCTTCTTCTTCTTCTTTTTTTTTTCCAGTGAGATTTTTGTAATAAAGCACATATGCTAGCCAGAGAGAGAGAGACAGTGAGAAATCGCCCTCCAGAAGGGATGACCATGCTGTAATCCCTTTTCCTCCATTCTCCTTCGGGATCTTGAGCATGCATGCACACATACCTGGCGTAAGTTTCAAACCTCCAAGTCTGGGACTTGAACCACTGTCAGCCATGTGGGAGTCCAACCATATAACCATTATGCCATATGCTGGTCCCTGTATTTATTTTTCTTTAAAAGGGTCCTCCAAATTGTATAAACTAAGATTATATAAAACCTGGATCCACATGTATGATAAGATATTCAGTAAGAACAAAAAAGAATAAAGCTTTTATATATATAAAATTGAGCTTCTCAAACTTAAACATCTGGAAAGCTTGTTAAACCACGGACCCCCTGAGTAGTAGTATATTATACCTTAACTTTACTGATGAAGAAACTAACACTCGAAAAGCTTATATCCTTCCCAATATCAGACAGCCGGTACTAGGCCTCATGTACTATGATTTCAGTGGTCCTTCCTCTGTACCATGCATGCTCTATTATAGTACTAGTATATAATATCATAAAACTACTATTCTTAGAGTTAAGATAAAATTAGTTTGCTGACTCCTTAGAGTAAAATGCAAATTTTGAGAACTTTAAACTAAACTATCCTATTTTCATTTACTAAGGATAAAGGATTTTCCCCTACCTTATTTGCTTGTTTTTCTTTTTTTTAGAGGTTTTTGCTATAGGGCGCATGCACTTGCCAGACAGACAGAGAGAGACAGAGAGATAGAAAGTGAGAAATCACCCCCCAGGGGGGATGGCCACGCTACAATCCCTTCTCCTCCATTCTCCTCTCAGGATCTCGGGCACGCACGCACATGCGCCTGGCGTGAGTTTTAAGCCACCGGGTCTGGGACACGAACCACGGTTGACTACATGGGAATCCAGCAACATAGCCATTACACTAACTGCTGGTCCCAATGCTTGTTTTTAATAGAGACATTTCAGAATTTAAAATAACATAAATCTTCCCTTGACTATATTCCTACATTCGTTTCTATTGTCGTACAATAAGCTATCCACAAGTTATCACAGAGGCTTAAAACAACATAAATTTATTATTGGGTCATTAGAAGAGTCATAATGCATTTTCTCATAGAAAAATATGTTATGACTTTTCCAACAACCCAGTATTTCAGAACTTTCATGAGTCAAGGGTCTAGGCATCCGTTAGTGATTTCTCTGCTCAGAGGTTTTTTTGTTTTTTTTTTTTTTAGAGGTTTTTGCTATAGGGCGTATGCGCTTGCCAGACAGAGAGAGAGAGACACAGAGACAGAAAGCGAGAAATCACCCCCCAGGGGGGATGGTCATGCTGCAATCCCTTCTCCATTCTCCTCTTGGGATCTTGGGCATGCACGCACATGCGCCCAGCGTCAGTTTTAAGCCACCGGGTCTGGGATGCGAACCGCAGTAGACTACATGGGAGTTCAGCAACATAGCCATTACGCTAACTGCTGGTTCCCTCTGCTCAGAGTCTTATCAGACCTGAAATCAAACTGTTGTTTGGGGCTTTGATCTTCTAGGAACATTGGGGTTTTCTTCCAAATTCATTAATTATTTACAGAATTTTGTTTTTTCTGGTTGTGGGGCAGAGGTCCCTGCCTCTTACTGGCTGTTAGGAGGTTCTCTACTACCAGAGGTTGCCTCTTGTTCCCGGCAATGGTCTTCTCCAACAATCTTCTTCTAGGCTAGAGGAAAATCTCTTCAGTGGGCTGCAGTGAGTCTTACACAGTGTTCCATAATCATGGAGTGCCTTTTCTCTTTGCCATCTGGGGTAACTTCTCCTAGGGAGTGACTATCTCATCATATTCACAGTCTCACATTCAAGGGACCAGGGGTGAGCGTTGTACAGGATCTGTAATCCAGAGGCGGGAATGTTGGGCCTATCTTAGAATTCTGCTGACTGCGTACAAAAATATCTGAAAAGTGACCTCTAGGCATTGTATATTTGATGAGACCTCAATGTTATCGAATAATTGTAGTTCAAAGAAAAAAAAATTGGGATTTACGCCCATGAAGATATTTTCCCAGAAGCTTGTTGTAAGTCTAACTATCAAGCAAAGACATAGGGCATGCATTCCGTTTTTGGGAAAACAATGAGTTTGTTATCTGTCTTTGATGTGACTGTAATTGCCTCCTTTGCTAATGTTGTTCCTCATTTTTAAAGAATGTGTAATGGCTTTTCGTCAGAAATTATTATCCTTTGAATATGTATATTTCTGTAAATATTCAGTTCTGCCTTGTAAAAGTAAACTGGAATCCTGTCTGACAGCTAAACAGGACATGAGTTTATAATTTAGCATTGTGTTTTTTAAAAAAGCTGTGAATATAATAATAAAGATTAAAACACTACAGGGAGTGTGTGTCTGTGGCAGTTGTAGGTGTTAATTATATTGTCAGCTGGAAGAGTGAAAATCCAACCTCATGAACTTGGCTCTTGGCAGGTTGGCCAAGGGTCTGATTTTTTAAATCTATTGTTATTAAAATGTATTTGTTTGCAGTGTTAAATAGCTTTGCTCTTTTAGACTTTAAAAAATTATTTTGACATGGAAATGCAGATTGAATCAAATTCGCCCCTTTTTGGATCCTAGAAAGGCATAGTTTAGTTAATTCACTAGAGGTTTTTAAAAAGCCAAGTAGTGTGAACTGAATACTTAAAAAGTGTCTAGGGCTTTGATCACAGTGGATAGCCATCAAAAGTCAGAGGATCTCTATTCACACAGGGCACATAAAAAGCTGTGGTTTTGCCTTTTGGCACTTAAAGGTGTTAATCTACTTCAATACTTACCAGTAAATGTGTCCATCAGTTAGGCTTAAATGCTCTGAGAATTATAAAGAAAAAGAAAAAAAAAAAACCTAAGAAACACTTATTCTAATGTTTTATAAGATATAAAATGCAATTTAGCATGTAAATATTTATAGCAATTATGATTTAAAAATAAGAATCTGAGTTTCTAAACGTTTTGATTTCTGAAAACAGAAGAGATTTTTCATGTGGCAAATTTGGTAGTTACTGTTTTAAAAATAGGAAAATTTAATATAGACTTACATGGGCAATCGGCTTACTAATATCTTACAGTCTAATACTGAAAGATTTCGTGGCTGGCAAGTGGCATGGTGGTTTAGGTGCTGAGTTCCCGCATGGCTAACTGTGGTTTGGGTCCTATACGTGGCGGCTTGCTTTCTCACTTTCCTTTTATTTGGTAAAATAATAATAATAATAAAAATAATAACAATAACAAACGGAATGAAATAAATACTTCTTTTAAAAAAGAAGAAGAAAAGAAAGATTTCACGCATGTGCAGAAACAGCATTCCACTTCTTATTTTAAACGAATTATACTGAGCATTAACATTCAGGATGCCTCTAGTCTGCATAAGCCAGATGATCTTTTCAAAAATTTGATTTGATCATTCTTCACCTAATTTTTCATTTAGTGGATTTTTAAAATGTGTTTCAGTAGGATGAAGGTACAATTTTCAACACAGCCCACAGAGCCTTATGGCTTGGCCTGGTACCTACTTTTGTCTACAGATTATCTCACACCAGTGTCTCGCTTTCTGCTGACTTTAATCACATTGACATTAGCCACTTGTAATTCATTGAAAGAGATATGCCCTGCCACATATCAAATTCTGTATCTAGAACATACTTGTATCTCTGTTCCTCCCTCACTTTTTCTTAGATCTTGCCTTTGTCATTTCCTGGGAACATGTTTTTACTGACTGTTCTCTCTCCACCTCCCATCCAGTCTACTTAAATATTTGTGTTGCCTGGACTTACAGAATCAAGATGTTCCTTTCTTTCTAAGTACTCCATTTTTAATTATACAATGATTAGTGAGATTGGTTCATTGACATCTGTCATAGCCGTCTTCTCCTTTAGAGCATACTCTAGGCAGCCAGATACCTTATTCTATGTGCTTACCATTTGCATTCTAGGATCTAGCACAGTCCTAAAATGTAAAGAAAACCAAACAAATATTTGTCATATGAATAAATAAATGAGTGAACAAATGAATAAATAAGTGAAAGACTATATACATTTGATTTTTCACGACTTCAGAACATTGGTCATCTCAATTAAGACTGTTCTTGCAAATAAACATAGAACAAAGTTAGCCGCCACTCTGCCCATTAACAGGAAACCTGCCTCATAGACCCATGCCTGCCAACCAGCTGGCATTATCACTATTATTTTGATGTCATGGGATGTGCCTTGTGAACATTTTAATAAACCTGTAACAACAAAAGCAGATGGTGACCTGAACATATTATAGAATGTCAACGCAGTTCCCATCCTTTCCACAGGTGGACCAAACATAAGGAAAAGAAGAACATAGCCTGAAGGGAATTGCACAAGCCATGGAACAAAGTGGATCTGAATGGGTAGAATAGATTTCACGCCAGAGGTTAGTTTGGCAAAGGCATTTAAGGGAGTAAGAGAGAAGCAGACCATTCCAGACAGGTAGCACGTGAGAAACAAGCACAGATGACAGGAAAGAACATAAGGCAAAAGCAATGTTAGCCAGGAGTGTGTGAAGAGACTAAATGTTCATCGAGAATTAGGTAGTCAGACATTCGTTTGTAAATCTATCTTGTTTCCCTTCCTGTTTGAGGTAATGTTACTGCCAGTTTAAACTCTTCCATGTAGATGACAGTCTGGCATTTAAATCTCTCCTTCTCAGAAGGCACAAGAAATGAAATGAAATGTAGCTATTAAAATACTTTTTTTTCCCCTCAAATCCGGTAATGGTGATAATGTGACTTGGTTTGGCATTTGTTAGTAATTCTAGGAGGTAATGCCCTTCCAATTTATTTGTGTTTTTATTGGCAATGGCAGAGAGACGTTCTTCCTAGACAGTCAAAACAAGATCAAATGTATTAAAATTTGTAATAAAATAGCATTTCTCAACACTTAAGAAAAGGATGCTTGACATGTAAATGTCATCCAATAAAGTTAGTATTTTAAGTTTTCTTTGCTCTTTTGTAAAATGCTGAATTTAAGACTTTTTGCAACACAGATATTCAATAATGATTTCATTGAATACTTTTGAAATTGTCTTTAAAGGTACAAATAGAAATTTATCTGATTAGGATAAGCTAAAACTAGCCTTTACCTGGTGAAAGATAACTGAAGAAATGTTAATTGCCAACCATAACATTTGAGAACAAACATCTTTAAGTCTATTGCTTACTTAAGAAAGAAAGAATATATATTAACAATTCCAGAAAATGAATATACAATGAGAAATTAGAATGCAAAATGGAAAATAGACTTAAATGTGATAAAAGTCATTAGTTCGGATGATAGAATATAGATAATTCTTTCGGACGTCTTCCTTTAATTTAACTTTTCTGTTTCTTAATTCTTTCCTTACGGCCTGGAAAATGCCAGCATTTGAATTTTATATACTACATTAACACTGAAAGATGGCCTTAGAAGTACTGAGCCTTTATCCATTATTCTGATGCTTTGCATAAACCCATCTATTAGATTAGTCTTTGTTTCTCTCTTTTTCAGCCTGTCCTCCATTCAAGTCACATGTAAATTTGATACTCAGCTTTTCTACTTCAAACCCTGCCTTGTTTTCCACTGTGCTCCTTCTGTGCTTGGGACAAGTTCATCGGAAGCCTCTTTCCTGGCCCTATCTGTCTCCTCCTTCCTCCAGCTGGATGTATCCTCCTTCCTCTTCACCTCCTTAACACTTATGCTTAAATCTCATTTCAAAGCTAACTGAATAGAAGCCTTTCCTTCTGTCTCCCTGACTAGACCTTGCCTACCCCACTGCATGATTTCCTGACTTCTGTAGATTTTTCTTCAAAGCAGTTATCACAGTTTGTGTCTCTATTTTTTAAACTATTTTATTATTGCCTCACTTGTGCAAGATTAACTGTGAGCTCCCTTGGTGTAGGATCTAGGTTTGTCTTTGACCAGAGTTCTGAGAATCAGGAGGGTGGTCAATGAACTGAGTGCTGAGTGTGTGACTAAATTAAACTTCTTGAAGGCAACAAACAGTAAAGAATTTGTACAGTTTACTACACTCAGGAGATCTAAAATTTTTAATCATATCAAAATTATTGAAAGTATTCTCAACTAAAAGAATATGGGTTATTACTGTTGCTGGTAACTTTAAATGACACATATAAAATAACAGTAAATTTCCTTAAAATGACCTTTGGAACCAAGCATTCTTCAGAAAATGAAACGTCATTAAATTTTTTTAAGAGGTTTTTTTTTTTGTTTTTTTTTTTTTGTTTGTTTGTTTTTGCTATAGGGCACGTGTGCTCACCAGACAGACAGAGAGAGAGACAGAGAGAAAGCGAGAAATCACCCCCCCAGGAGGGATGGCCACACTGCAATCCCTTCTCCTCCTTTCTCCTCTCGGGATCTTGAGCACGCACACACATGTGCCCGGCGTGAGTTTCAAGCCACCAGGTCCGGGACACGAACCGCGGTAGACTACATGAGAGTCCAGCGACATAGCCATTACGCTAACTGCTGGTCCCTCATTCACTATTTTTAGAAAAAAGGTGCAGGCTGGCCCCTATGGCATGGCAATTAAGCACTATGCTTAGTGAACCAAATCCTACTTGGCTAACCATGGTTCTAATCCCAGTTCTGTAAATTTGAGAAAAATTCTGGTGCATGTGCATGTCGTGTCCTGTGTCCACCCCCACCCCCCTTCCTGACACAGAATGACGAAATGGAGGAAAAGGGATCACAGCATTGCTGCACCCCATTGGGAGGAGTTTTCTCTCTCTTTCACATGTGTGTATGCAGTTAAAAAAATACCACCCTCCAGTGTAAGATAGAAATGAATCTATAAATAATGAACAAGAAGTCATAAGAGGATATTAAATACAATATTTACATGAAAGCTATAAATATTGTATTTATTCAAGTTTCTCATTTATATCAAAAAAAGCCAAAGAGTATAAAAAATGTATTTTCTTTCTTTTACATAAAGAATAGGAAAAAGTCAGCAAGAAGAGACTTAGCAAAGTACCTCAGAATAACTAAAGAGCTTTTAAAACACACACACACACACACACACACACACACACACACACATTATGGGATCTTCTGGAAATTCCAATTAGGAGAATGAGGTAGTAGCTATAACTCTGTATATTCAAGAATTACGTTAGAAGAGTGCTTTTCATTTTCATCATTATGCTCATAAAAGGTATAATGTAGCTTTTGATGCTTATTATGTTTTATAAGGTACAGGGTATTTTATGAGTATATGTGTCTATTAGTTTACTTAATCCTGTATCAGGTACATAAGAAATAAAGGGAGAGAAATATTTTCTAGCCAATGAGAAACTGCCAAAAAAAGCTCTATTTATGTTTTTCTTTAATAGTATTTGTGAAAGATCTTCAAAAAATTCATGGAAAAGGCATATTAGACAAAAATTATACATGAAATTCAAGTTTTTTGCACCAAAATAAACTCATACTTTAATTCTACTTTCTATGAACTGTTGAAGTAACCATGTGTTGAAGCTTTATTTTACTCAATAGTTCATGTCTATTTGCCACTTGTTCTTCCTTGAATAGTCATGGATTTGAATTCAGGTGGAGTGATTCCATGTGAATCAGGAAGAACTAGGTACTATATTATTGGGGAAAAGGTGAAATGTTATAGAATCAAAGCAAAGAGATCCCACACAAGCCATGAAAAAATCAAGAGCTTGAAGTTACTGAACCTCCTAAGTGTTGAGAGCTAAACCAGCTTCCCAGCTAAAATGATCAGAGAAATATATCTGCACTTATACATTACATAAGCATAATGTATCAGAGTAGCAGTATCTATTTCTAGGTTTGTTCTGTTTTGCAAGAAACTGTACAAGCAATAATTATGACCACAACACCATTATTAGGATTCACCAGCCCACAGTTTACAGTACAAATTAGTAATTACTCATTTGTTGCTCTACCCATATTCTTCTATTTCACCATCTTGGTTAAGACTGTATTTATTTATTTATTTATTTATTTATTAATTAGAGGTTTTTGCTATAGGGCACATGCACTTATCAGAAAGACAGAGAGTGACAGAGAGACAGAAAGCAAGAAATCACCCCCCCAGGGGAGATGGCAACGCTGTAATCCCTTCTCCTCCACTCTCCTCTTGGCATCTTGGGCATGCACGCACACACACCTGGTGTGTGAGTTTAAGCCACCGGGTCTGGGACTCAAACCACAGTTGACTACATGTGTCCAGCGACATAGCCATTATGCTAACTGCTGGTCCCAAGACGGTTTTTAGGTTGAAGAATATGAATGTAGATATAGTAAGAATATGCATATATTTATGCAATACTGTCTTTGATACAGGAAGAAGGTCTTTATTGCCCTTCATAATGATAGCTAACTTTTAGGGTGCTTACTAATACTGGCCACTAGGCTCAGAACATTACATCCATTTTCTCATGTAATTCTCATAAAGTTCTATGAGGCATTATTCTATGAAGCATTGTTAGTCATAGCATTATTACTTTATTATTATTTCCCTCTTCCCAGTGAAGGCAATAAGAGTTCAGTTAAACTGTGTCTCCAAGTTCCCTTTCCTAGTAATTGATGAAGTCAGGACTGGAGCCCAGATCTTACTAAAACCACACCAGGGCTGCTTTTTGCCACTAGGTAAACAGTCTTAGTCTCAGGGCACCTTTGTAAGTCATTCTAGGTCAAGCTCTCAACTCTACTGCTATCTGCCTCTTGAAATTTCATCTTCTACTACCCTTTCCCTCAGGAAACACACTCCAAGTACCTGCCTTTATGTTTCTCAAGCATATACTCACTCCTTACTGGTTTTGCCTTTATTCTGCCTCTGTCTGGACTACTCCATTCCGGATATTTCCTTGCCTTCTTACCAAAGCTCTCTTCCTAGAGAAGTCTGCCTTGACTACTAATTTTAATAAAAACTGACCTGCCCCTCCTCTCATCACTTTCCATCAACTTATGCTGGTGATTTAGTGATAGTATTTGCCATTTTGAACATTATTCTAAGTATTTATTTGTTTCTGACTTTGTCGTTGTTCTCTCCCACTAGAATCTAAGTACTACCAGGGCTGGGTCCTTATTTTTATGTTTACCATTGTATACTTGTTTTATGAATGACCAAATAATGCTTATTTGTTTGTATTTATACAAGTTTGTGCTAAATGCTGAAAATAGGGAGATGAATAAAATAGGGATTATCACATAAATAAGTTCATAACATAATTACTAGATATTATAAAAAACACAAATTGTTTTTTCTCAGGAGAATTTGAGGTTGAAATTGATGCCTCAAGTCTATACTCAGTTTACCTCTCAATCAGCGATTATTAATTAGAGGTTTTTGCTATAGGGCACATGCACTTATCAGAAAGACAGAGAGTGACAGAGAGACAGAAAGCAAGAAATCACCCCCCCAGGGGAGATGGCAACGCTGCAGTCCCTTCTCCTCCACTCTCCTCTTGGCATCTTGGGCATGCACGCACACACATCTGGTGTGTGAGTTTAAGCCACCGGGTCTGGGACTCAAACCACAGTTGACTACATGTGTCCAGCGACATAGCCATTATGCTAACTGCTGGTCCCAAGACGGTTTTTAGGTTGAAGAATATGAATGTAGATATAGTAAGAATATGCATATATTTATGCAATACTGTCTTTGATACAGGAAGAAGGTCTTTATTGCCCTTCATAATGATAGCTAACTTTTAGGGTGCTTACTAATACTGGCCACTAGGCTCAGAACATTACATCCATTTTCTCATGTAATTCTCATAAAGTTCTATGAGGCATTATTCTATGAAGCATTGTTAGTCATAGCATTATTACTTTATTATTATTTCCCTCTTCCCAGTGAAGGCAATAAGAGTTCAGTTAAACTGTGTCTCCAAGTTCCCTTTCCTAGTAATTGATGAAGTCAGGACTGGAGCCCAGATCTTACTAAAACCACACCAGGGCTGCTTTTTGCCACTAGGTAAACAGTCTTACTCTCAGGGCACCTTTGTAAGTCATTCTAGGTCAAGCTCTCAACTCTACTGCTATCTGCCTCTTGAAATTTCATCTTCTACTACCCTTTCCCTCAGGAAACACACTCCAAGTACCTGCCTTTATGTTTCTCAAGCATACACTCACTCCTTACTGGTTTTGCCTTTATTCTGCCTCTGTCTGGACTACTCCATTCCGGATATTTCCTTGCCTTCTTACCAAAGCTCTCTTCCTAGAGAAGTCTGCCTTGACTACTAATTTTAATAAAAACTGACCTGCCCCTCCTCTCATCACTTTCCATCAACTTATGCTGGTAATTTAGTGATAGTATTTGCCATTTTGAACATTATTCTAAGTATTTATTTGTTTCTGACTTTGTCGTTGTTCTCTCCCACTAGAATCTAAGTACTACCAGGGCTGGGTCCTTATTTTTATGTTTACCATTGTATACTTGTTTTATGAATGACCAAATAATGCTTATTTGTTTGTATTTATACAAGTTTGTGCTAAATGCTGAAAATAGGGAGATGAATAAAATAGGGATTATCACATAAATAAGTTCATAACATAATTACTAGATATTATAAAAAACACAAATTGTTTTTTCTCAGGAGAATTTGAGGTTGAAATTGATGCCTCAAGTCTATACTCAGTTTACCTCTCAATCAGCGATAGAGTTCTCTCTTCAGTAAGTGCTAATGTGTCTTCATGTATGTAGAACCTGGATGATTTTGGGTGTCAACGTTAGGAATGGACTCTATCTTGAAGTCCTAAACTTGTCTCCTCTATATAAACACCTGGAGAACTTGTAAACAAAACAGGTTCTAGGATCTCCAAGATAACCTGAATTCAGTATGTCTGGGGTGGGACCTAGAATTCTGTATATTTTGAAAATACCTCCCCAGTGTTCTATAGGTGTTGATACTCATCCACCAACTACCAGATAATGCTGCCTTGCTTGGAAAACACTTCTATGTTTGTGCTGGCAATGAATTTTAGGCAAATAGCATAAATGTATATCTCTAAAAGAAGAGTACTTTTTAAAATTTTTATTTATTTATTTCATAAGAGAGTGGGAGTGGAGAGATATTTTGACAGGGTTTCACCGTGTGTAATCTTCCTTCCAGCCTCCCAGCCAGTCAAGATCACAGGTATACACAGCTATGCCCTGCATGTTCAGATCAACCCAGGATCCAAATCCAGACTTCCCACATGGCTCTAGCATCAGGCAGTGGCTCCCTACCACCTGCACAGCTATGCCCCAGATACTTTGTCAACCAAACCAGTTCTTAAAATTGACGTTTGTACTTTTAAAGTAATTTATTCAGACATTGATTTAGTTTGTATTTGTAAATCCTTTCTACCAAAAAGCATAAGGTGCTTTACAAACATTAACACAGCTATGTCCCAGATACTTTGTCATCAGCCAAACCAGTTCTTAAAATTGACGTTTGTACTTTTAAAGTAATTTATTCAGACATTGATTTAGTTTGTATTTGTAAATCCTTTCTACCAAAAAGCATAAGGTGCTTTACAAACATTAACCATAGGACAAACATAAATCTTGACAAACACTGTCAACTAGATAAAATGTTTTTAGTAAATGAAAAACTATGATTCTGCCTTTCAAACTGAATTTCAAATGATATTTCGTGCTCTAGTGATGTATGAATCCATGTGTTGCTTTGCAAGTTATGAGTATCTTGTATTTCGATACTCTTGCACACACTGGCAGTTCAGCATATTCTTTTCCATATAATTCCTTTATCGTTTTTTAAAGTTTTGTTTATTTCTTCAACAAGCATAAAAAGTAAGAGATGACAGAGAGAATGGTATACCCGACAAGGATCCCCACTCTACCATCCACTTCCAGTATCGGTGTCCCAGCTCACAGGCACATGTACCAGTGTGCTTAGGGATATCCCAGAATGTAAACTCCAGATCGTTCCCTGTGGGACCAGTATACCCCCACTGGGCCACCACCTAGCCTCTCTCTTTACTTTTAGATGAAAAGCCACACATGATTTCTATTAAGAAGGTCAAAGGGAATTAAAGTGCTACTTTACCATTTGTCCTCTTTGCCTACCTCAAAGTCATCTAAATTTATCTTTTTGATTGTCTCCAATCATCCTGAGGGACTTTCTTGAATTTTCCTGTTAGGTCAGGTTTTAATCCATGTTCTGTCACGATCTCTGGTAACACTTAAGTTTTTTGGACTTTGGACACAAGAAGGCCTGGTAAAGCCTATAACAGAGAAGTATATTCCTTTCTGCCTCTGATGTTCCTTTCACCACAGTTTTTCTGAACAAATTCACACGGGAGCCACGTTTAGACCTGTCTCTCCACAGTACCTGATTCTCATCTGATTTTTGTTTGTACTACTCTCTGCATTGAACTAACCTTCTCCAAGGGTTGGCCCCATGGCCAGGTGGTTGGGGAGCTAGATTTCACATGGACTCCATGATTCGAATTTTGGTACTGGAGACTTGAGAATTACACTGGGAACATGTGCATGCATGCTCAGGCTCACGACAAGATAGAGAGATGGAGGACAGGGGATTAGGGCATGACCATGCCCCATTGGGGAATGCTTTCTCCTTTTCTCTCTCTCTCTCTCTCTGCTTCTCTATCTCTCTCGCCGGTGAGCACATGCACCCACCAGCAAATTAAAGGAAAAAAAGGAAACAAACAAACAAACAATGTTACACTTCTGAGTCAGGGTTTCAGTTTAGGCCTCCCTTTAGAATCATTTCAGAAAATAACTTTATGTAAAGATTAGTGGTTAAAAACTGTTGAGCGTACTAGGGATGTCTCTGTAGTATATCCACAGTCATACTATACTTGAGATCAGGAACTTAATTGTTTTTTTTTTTTTGAGAGGTTTTTTCACTATAGGGCTTGTGCGCTCGCCAGCCAGCCAGAGACATAGAGACAGAAAGTGAGAAATCACCCCCCGGGGGGGGATGATCACACCGCAATCCCTTCTCCTCCGTTCTCCTCTCGGGATCTTGGGCACGCACACATAAGCGCCCGGCGTGAGTTTTAAGCCACCGGGTCTGGGACGCAAACCGCGGTTGACTATGTGTGGGAGTTCAGCGACATAGCCATTACGCTAACTGCTGGTTCCCAGGAACTTAATTTTTTTTTTAAGAGATTTTTTTTTTTCTATAGGGTGCATACTCTCATTGGAGAGACAGAGAGACAGAAAGCGAGAAATCCCCCCCACACACTCCCGGGAGTATGACCACATCTCAGTTCCTTCTCCTCTATGCTCCTCTCAGGATTTGGGGCATGTATACACACAGGTCCAGCGTGAGTTTCAAGCTGCCAAGTCCAGGACTCAAACCCTAGTTAACTATGTGGGAGTCCAGCATCATAACCATTATGCCATCTGCTGGTCTGAAGAACTTAATTTTAGTGATAGAAATTCAGCATTCAGTTCTCCTCCTGTAATCTTATAGTCTTGCAGAATCTTTAATATGAATTGTATAAAATAAAGTATAAGCACCTTTCATAAAAAAATTAGCAAAAACTAAATCACTAACATTTTTATATTAGAAGTATCAAATTTAGCTAGATAGAGCTAAAAAAGACATTTATTGAGTGATCAGTTCCTACAAATATGTGAGAAAGTAGATAGACATCTTTGCTACAAAACATAACTGGTCATTTTAGTAAGATAAATAACAATGAGGAAGTTAACTCTTTTTTGAAATCTATATGATCACTTCAGAGGGGAGAATGCTTCCAGCTAAGTTCAGATTAATAAAATTAAATACATTTTAAGCATTTTTTTTTAAGAGAGATTTTTGCTGTAGGGCACATGCATTGGCCAGAGAGCCATAGAGAGCTAGAGAGACAGAAAGCGCCTCTCCCAGTGTGTGGGGGGGTGATGGCCATGCCACAATCCCTTCTCATCCATTCTCCTCTCGGGATTTGGGCCATGCACATTCACACACCTAGCATGAGGTTTAAGTCACTGCTTCGGGAACTTGAACCACAGTCAACTACGTGGGAGTCCAAGGACATTACCATTATGTGATCTGCTGTTCCCCATCTTAAGCATTTTTGGGTTTTTTTTGGAGAGATTTTCACTGTAGGGTGCGTGCGCTCGCCAGACAGACAGAGAGAGACATAGAGACAGAAAGCGAGAAATCACCCCCCAGGCGGGATGGTCACGCCGCAATCCCTTCTCCTCCATTCTCCTTTCGGGATCTTGGGCACGCACGCACACATGCCTGGCGTGAGTTTTTTTAAGCCACCGGGTCCGGGACACGAACTGCGGTTGACTACGTGGGAGTCCAGCGACATAGCCATTACGCTAACTGCTGGTTCCCCCCATCTTAAGCATTTTTAATTGGAGTTTTTTCAATGCCTTTAGGATGATTTACCAATCATATTTTTAAAAGAAGAATTCATAATTTAGTACAAAATTTGAACTTTCCCATACGACTATTGGATAGAATTTAGTTGCTGTTGATTTTATATTCTTCTCATACAGGAGGCTATATAGTTCCACATATTTATTTCAAGCTTGACATCCTGAAATACTTGAATTGATGAAAAAGAATGAAAAATTGAATTATGGCTCCTTGATTTGAAATATCATATAAACGTTCTTGGAAGTGGTATTATTAAACATTTATTCCATAGTCAACATTCCATGAAAATATCAAAATGAAGAAAAATAGTACTTTTAGAACATTTTAGTGATTAAATATATTGATACAGTTGTCTTTTATACAGAGACAAATGAATCATTCAGCAAGTATAAATTTCTGCCAACTGTTTTATAATTTTAGAGTTACTTTAAAAACAAAATGTCTAAAGAAAAAAATTAAATTAATCATCAGAAGAGAATTTGTAATACACTTATTGGGAGGAGATATTTATTGATGTTATTATGGCCTTCATTAAGAGATCTTCTAAAAGTATATACAAAAATATTAACATTGGTTATTTTGGAATGATGCAGTTATGAGATATTTTAATTTTATGTTTAATGTTTTTCTATATTTTAAAGGTTTTTTAGTTATAAGTTTACCACTTTAATTAGGAAAAGAAAATTTATACCAGTGTATGAATACAAAAAAAAAAAAAAAAAAAAGAAGCCATCTTTTAGTTGGAAGCTGCTCCTTGGGTTTGCCCTTCCAACCTGCCTCCATCATGATTGTGATCTAACTTGTCTCCCTCCATTCTCCCCTCTCTGTTGACTTTTTTTTTTAATAGTAGAGTGAATATGCACACATACATAAGAGACAGAGGTAGAGAGAAAAGAGAGAGAGAGGTACCATCAGTAGGGTCTCAGCACATTGAAATCCCGTTTCCCCAGCTCTTCAGCTCTTTAGGATCCTGGCATTCAGGGACCAGCAGTTAGCGTAATGGCTATATTGCTGGACTCCCATGTCATTGACCATGGTTCGTGTCCCGGACCTGGCAGCTTAAACTCACACCAGGCACATGTGCGTGTGTGCCCAAGATCCTGAGAGGAAAATGGAGAAGGGATTGCAGCATGGCCATCCCCCCATGGGGTGATTTCTTGTGTTCTATCTCTCTCTGTCTTTCTGGTGAGCACACGTGCCCTATAGCAAAAACCTCTCCAAAAGGAAAAAAGAAAAGGGGAAAAAAAAAAAAGATCCTGGCATTCACAGACACACCCAGCATGCCTTCATGTCAGACACAGATCTGAACCCAGGGTCAGCATGTGGGTCCTAGCCTTGCATTACTGCTGTACCACAGTGGCAGGGCCCCCAGTTAACTTTTATGCCATCCTTTTGCCATACACCTGGC